GAGAGAGAGGTGTATCCCCATCGCCATCAATTACATTGAGACCAATACGAGGAGCGGTAAGTAGGAGCTCCACAATGCCCTCGTGGCCTTGATATGTAGCGAGAGATAGGGGTGTTTGATTATCACTTGTGGTAGAATTGATATCAACATCAGGGCGAGCAAGTAGTGTTTGAACAACCATGTCAAGGCCTAGGTATGAAGCAATATGAAGGGGTAAAGGATGGACAGAGCGACGAATTTCTCTAACAACAATCTCCCAGTCCATGTATTGGTCTGTTTCCACAGAACAAAGATCAATAGCCGCAGGGAAGTGCTCATGGCGATATTGAATCGTCATATGACTAAAGTGAACTGCCCAATTATTTGCTGCGTACTCAAGAAAATCGTAACTTTTATTCAAGTCCTCAGCATCTCTAACTGGGGGCGCTTTCTTCTTTCCGAGCTCTCTAAGATATAAAAAGCGGATACAGATCGAAGTAAGTAGTAACGCTGAGTCGGAAACCGAAATAGAGTGCTTCCAGCTGCACTCGATTGGTGACACTTCATCGGATAGCGATACCAAGAAGTCTTTCGCAGATTGGTGGATCAGAAAAACCGTCTCGTCTACTATATGGATAAAAAGCCCACATGTATTCCGGACTGCTATCGCAAGCTGCTCGCCCCTTTGGAGCTCTAGATCTTCGTAGCACTGAGTTTCCTTTGTGATAGCCAATGCAACACCGACTTCATTTAGGCTAAGTGGTCTGGTCGCCGCCACAATGATTTGAAGCAGCTTTTTGGCCTGGGCTTGGTTCGTGGCTTTGCGAAGAATGGAATCATAGACATCATCCACAGTCTTTGGTAGGGTTCCTAACAGGCTCTTGACTGCTTGTCTGTCTATTCGTGGCATCTCTTCAATGATTTTGAATATTAGATCTAGCCAGAGGTATGTTCGATTCTCAGTCGCCAGTATCCCACGAAGAAGTTCTTCTCTTGTGGTTTCCCTCACAATCCGGGGGCCTAATTTGGACATTCGAGCATGCACAACGTGGTTGATTTCGGATTGAAGTTGTGTGGAAAGCTTTTCACTTGGCAATCGAATTCCAGGAATATCTTCCATGAGCTCTCTGAACTCATTTTCGATTTTGAAATATGGACGGCTGGTCACAAGGATTTTCAGATGGTGCGTCGAACGCTGAGATTCCCTATGGCGTTCAAGACCTTTAAGCCGCCCAATGAGGTTCTTTTGGTCTTTCGTCTCGCACTCATCTAGTGCGTCCAGGATAAAGATAATTCGCCCACATTCTGGATCTTGGGATATACCTCTCAAAATATTCCACATGATATCGAGATTGTCGCATGATTTATCTGCATTTTCAAGATACGCTGGGAGTGCATGCCTCATGGCTTTCCGGCCATATTTAGATCTCAGGACCTGATGTAACAAGGCGGCCACTGCATTGGCAGGACTCCGAGTCTCGGGTGATGTGTCCTTGAAAAAGAAATAGCAGATGGTCGTGTCGCTAGACTCAAGGCCAAACAGGCGTTTGTCGACAAGATCCTTGGAAAGAACAGATTTGCCACAGCCTGGATCTGCTGTAATCCATAACAGACAAGACGAGTCATTCTTTTGCCAGTTCCGGAAAATCGGACTTTGAAGGCACCAGTTGCATGTTCCATCTTCCTTGTCCGGGTTGAGATCTTTCTGGTATTCATAGTCCGTGGTGCGAAAAGCTTGAAGGCATGCCGTTTCTTTGTCTGATTTTTGCCATGATTCAAGGTGTTCAAGTTGTTGTAGAACCTTTGTTATCACTAGTCGATAAGAGGTCAATGTTTGCTTCTTTGTAGGCCCCCGACGCATAACTAGTTGAAACAAACGCCTGAATGTCCTCAAAAAGGGTATAGCAACTGAAGCACAGAAAGTATCGCGTATTGAATTCTCCCGATTTATAATGATAACCTAAGATTATACTTACATCTTTCAACCGGAGGCAACAGGAGGACGCCCTGTCCTGGAATTGTGAGCAAAAGCTCCTTTGCGTAGGCAGAGGCGACAGCAGCAGCATATGGCTGCCAAATCTTGTTCATATGTGAATCGGCATAGTTACAGATGCCTCTGATTACAAGGCATGGAAGTGTATCCATGAGCCCTGGTCAAGAAGGTAAGCAACAAGAAAATAAGGCTATAAATGAAGGTATTAGGTACTTACCCGCAGCTTCCATTTCGAAGCATTTGATCTTCTCCCTTTCAGACCATCTATCCCTTAAGATAGCATCCTTCATTACCTGATCTGCAGACCCAATCGTTCCATAGTGTATTTGAGGCTCATCGCTCGGCCGCTGCTTTCTTCTCACGAGATTCGTATTATCAGGACCGCGGCACAACTCGCACTTCTTTCCCGCTACATGAGAAATCTCAGGCTTGAATAACTGATCTTTTGCCGATCCCGGGTGCTTGAATTTCTTTCCCATTCGTGGATTGTTTGCAAGCATATTGGAAAGTAGCTCGCAGATCTTGTGGCCTTTCCGTGCATGCTGACCTTGTAGCATAGAGACTGCATTCAACACAATTCCCGGAGGCTTATTCAGCTGACCTCCAGCACGAACAAACTCCTGGCTCTGTACAGACTTTCCGAAGTCATATTGAATGACGGCCTCCGAAGACTTTGAATGTTGGCTGATCACCACATCTCCCAATCTGATGTCTTGAATTCCGTCCGTGTCCTCATCTTCAGAGTCATCGGATTCGTCCGCGTCAATATTTTCTTCGTTCTGCGTTCTGTAGTATGGTGCGCCACCTCCAATTCCAACCATCAATCCGAATCTAATGGCTGGGAAGCTGCGCACCATGTCTTTTGCTACAGTGGCAGCGTGAACCTTCCCTGTTTCCGCTGCAGGCAAACAAGCAATCACCACGTTATGATCCCCAATTCTACCCAAGAGGTAAGAGTTGATATCATTTGGATCTGCTGCCTGAAGAACAGGATGTTCATCATCCAACATGGCACCAGCGGCTACCAACTCAGTCTGCGGCAAAGTGCATATCCACCCAACAGTGTAGTCCGAATGAGAAAACTCTCGAGTATTCTCCCTCATTATGACTGTAGATGAATGAAGATTTTGGTTGGTTTTGTAAGATTCTCAGATAGTTTGGAGAGGTTTCTGTATTCAGGTGGTTCTTCTGGGAACTATTCGTAATCAATGCTAGCTGCTCAGCCCCCAGCGCTAATGCTATATTCTTCATTGGCCAATCACTCAGTCGATTATGTGTGCAGAATACGAGCAGCCCAAGTTGCAGCCCAAATTCCATTACTTTGTAGGAACATCTACATCTACACGATCGCGTTTTCCGTATCATGAACTAGTACAATGTAAATATGTCACTGGGCGCAAAGTTTCTTGGCTATAGTAGCATTAATATAGTAAATCAGAACATAGAAAAGCCATTTTTCAGTCCTGTAAAGATATGATAGCACGGAACTACTTAAAATACCTACCTAGGTATGTGAAACCGCCGATTATGTTAGCGGGCTAGTAACAGCATCGCGCGACCTAGGGTGACTCTCAGCTAGATCTCACCCTTCTATGACGAACTCCTCCCCCTTATCACCCGTCGACCAGACATTAGCAACTTGTGTCCCCAGGATAGACCAAATGATTAGCCAGTATAGCTATTTGGCGGCTTATGTGCAGCCAATACGCGCCACCCGGGAAAGATGGGTGATGTTACGAAAGAAATAATAAAGGGATCCGTGGGCTAAATATATCGATTGACTGAATGAGGATTGGTGGTTATCTAAGAGAAGAATAGTGACTAAGTGGGTGGGTGTCTTTTATAGACAACCCCGATACCATCTTGCAGATCTGACAACAGGTCACTCAGCCAGACATTGTAAATCTCATCAGATTCAAAATACACCGAGGATCAATCTCTTTGTTGAGCGATGCCACTGCTCCCACTCCTGCCCAAACTTCTGTTGCAGCATCACTTCTTCATCGAGCACCCTCCCACCGAAGAACCAGACTACAGACCCGGCGATGGCCGTCAGAATGGTAGCACCCCAGCCATAGCATTGAGACAATGCGAATGTGGGGATCCAACAAGCAGGCGTCGCATCCCAGCGAAGAAACAATGCGAAGCACCCCCACCATATCATTCCTATTCCTGTATAGCTAGGATGCTGGACCCACCGATAGATGCCTGTTGTCACCAGATGATCGGGTGGTACCAAGTGGAGCGTGAATAATTTGCCAAGTCCGCCGTAGGCCGACAGTCGTATATACGTGCCAAGGTAGATGAGGAGGGGAACGATAGACACCATATTCCACGCAAAAAGGTCTGGGTTGGTGTTATGAGCCAGGGGGCATATTTGGGACACTCGAGTAGGGGCGTGCCGAGTAGCCATGGTAAAGAGTGCGTGATAGATCGCCGCAGCGGCGCAGACTCGGCTGAAATTAGGCAAAGCCCTCCCTGTGAGGAATCTGATGCGGTCTGCCCGGTTGCGATCTTTCCTGGCCTGATGAGGGTTCGGGTCCACATGAGTAATCATGAAGCAATAACCCGCTACTATAATAGCGATAGCAAGTAACGCCGAGTCTGAAGACATGGTAAATTTAGATAACGTGACAATTTCATAAACAAATGGCTTTGATATTGCACATTGCACAGGAAAATTACCTGTTATATAGCCATAATCTGCACCTACGCATGTAATTGAAAGGCACAAGGGCTAGATGCACTTTCGAGGCCTTCTGCATATCGAACTATGACATCGCCCTCCACTTTGCGTGATAATATTGAGAGATTATAGAGATGCATATGTCATACGCTTCCCATCATGGCTTTTCACATACCTATCATACGTGAATTGTCATATCCTTGATATTTATCCCTAGCGCATGAGTGTGTTATCTTCGGAATTTGTTCACATGCAGCTTTAAGACCAAATCAACGATCTCCGCGTCACGGGCCTTCGGAAAACACTATATGGATGTTACACAAGGTATATCAACGTCTACATATATATGGAGATTTGTATCCCATTGGCTGAAGATAAATCCACATGCTGTCACATGTCCAATGAAACTATAAGTTTAATGCAGCCTTACGGCATGTGCGGGCTCTGTGCAACACCGACCCTATTGTATAAGCATGCCACGTTTATATCCTTGCTAATTTATTAAATGCCNAAAGAACCCCCCCCCCCCCCCCACCAAAAATGTTGAGCTATTTTCTGGAGAGGGAAGGGATCAATCCTGAAGAGGTTCTATCTACTTGGGGCTCTATCTCAAATTATGAAAGTCTAATAAGTGAGATTTCTCAATAGATGGAGAATAACATGAGTGAAAAGATGACAGAATTCAGCGTTATCGGGGTGAATTAAAAACGGATAAATGTCTCTCTCTTTCTATTGGCACTATAGATGGGTGGCCTTGTTAATGCCTTAGACCAGGCCGTGAGTGGCTATAAATACACTGAGTCTGCTTATTGAATGACCAACATTTCTCCTCTTTTTCCACTTCTCTCATATTTCAAATGACTTCTGTCTATATATCTGTCTTTTTTTCAAGATTATATATCAAAAATAATATTTATGAAAAAAGAGAAGACCGTGATTCCTATTTATGGTGCTGCTTGGCTTTCATGCTCCCACTGTTATCTTCTACTAGTTCAGTTATTTACCTCTTACAAAGACCCTAATTATATTGAAGCACACTCCTAAATACAACTGCATAAAGGTGCTAACTCTCCATGTTGAAAGGCCTGAGCGTTCTAGTCCTAGATCAGACCTCGTTTATTGTTCGGGGCCTTCTAGAGCCAGTTTGCCCAGGAAGAGAAGTCATGTTCCTTACACCTTCTTCTCATCTCTCTCGGCAACAGTTTTGACAATATCATGCAGCAGATTGAGTGAGGTTGGTTTGATCCTCTCATATGCCATATGATCCTTCATCCCATAGTACTAGCTATTTAACTAGTTGGTATTACTTTCCTGTACATATCTGTGCTTCATCACCTTCATCTACCACAATACATACATTGTGTCTTTTGATGATCTCTATCTACATAGTAGATTTCAACATGGTTTTCTTGATGCCAGTGAGATACCGTCAGGAAATGAGGAAGCACGACAGACGGTGGCAGCGAAGATCAATTGAGAGCTCATTCAAAGGCGAGGTGAAGTCAAAATTGATGAGATTCCGTTAGTCCAGGCTAGCAGCTAGAAGTCTTTTGCCAATCTGTTTCCATGAGACCCAGAAATGGCGCATTTATTGACCTGTCTGTCCTTTTTGGGGAATAAGTTGCAAGCCTGAGAACCATTACTTCGGCATAACCAGCACTGGCTCTTATTTGGGCGTTGTTCGATCCGGCTCTTTTTGGACAAGGATGACATGTTGGCCATTACGAAAATGCCCAGTTGCGATTCATATATTGGTGATTAGAAGCTTTGATACCCGATGGGCTGAAGAAGAAGGATGGCCTAGATCAGTCTAGGATCATGCGCTGCTTGGATAGTCGAAGTAGTGAAAGGGGGTTTTAAGGCATAAAGAGGTGGAGAGGGGAGGGAGAAGGAAGTGAGAGGCAGATACCCAAGTTAGCGTCAATCTATATAGGTACATTAGGTAGGTACATGGGTATTTTCTCAAATTAGTGTCCAGGTGGGGAAGGAGGCTGATGGGTCCGAACCTTAATACTTTAATTTGACTATGAACGAGAACAATGTAGGGACGATTCGGGCCATTACCAGGATACTAGTGCCTATAGATTTTAAAACAACATGCTCTGATGAACTACCTTATATAACGAGCGCAGTTCTAAGTGTTGTCTGGTCTTATTTTGCTCATATCGCCGTGGTCAAGTGTGAATGTCCCAGTGGCTGATTGTGACAGCACATTCAAGGAGGCTGAGGGTGAAACGATATGCTAGACGATTGGCGGCCTAACATCGAACGAGTGGAACGGCCGGAAGTACTAGTGGTGGTATTGGCCTTACGTTGCTTCTAGTAGATGAAGTGAGCATTGCAATTGAAGTATCCATTCTCATTGCATTTGCTGGCTATTTCACGTTGGCTAAAAAGGAATTGTACATTGATTAGTAGAAAAGGAAACACACGTTGGGTATTAAGTCATGTTCGTCGTGACCCACCCACAAGAACATCTGTGCAGGAGTAGGCGGGGGTATTAAGGGTACATATTCAGCCAATCGTCTTGCGCTTCTTCGAAACCGACTCCTCGGTAGCATCAGAGCCACGGCGGGTCGCAGCACCTCTCTTACCCTTGCCTTTGCTCTTCTTGGTAACAGTAGCAGCGGCAGCAGCTTCAGCAGCCAGAGGATCCTCACCAGCAGCAGCAGCCGCCGCCGCAGCGGCAGCACCCTTCTTCCCAGCTTCCTTAGCAACTTGATCATCATTCTGGTCAAATGCCTTACGGGCTTCCTTCAATTCACGTTCCATACGTAGCAGCTCCTGGACACGACCAAGCTTGTTAGGGTCGCGACGCAATGCGAAGCGGAAATCCTCGACTTTGATTTTCTGGCGGCGGGCATGGTGTGCGACTTGTGCGGCGCCGTGGCTGAGTTCCAGCACGAAGTCTGTGACAATTTCGTCCAGCACGCGGACTGTCTCGGGAAGTGGTTCGTTTGAGAAGCTTGGGTGCGGGCTGGGATCGCCGTAGGCGAGAAGGAGCAGGCGGACTGTGAAGCTAGTTAGTATTGAGCCTGACTTGGTAACTTCCATGAATGGATGCACGTCGCGTGGGAACTTACGCTCATTCTGGAAGTTCATTTGGCCCTTGTGTCGGGCCATACGTGCACGTGGTTCAGCCATGGTGGGCTTGTTTGCGACTTTAGTTGCGGGAGCTTTCCTGCCCTTTTCAGTTGAGGTCGATGTCGTGTCAGGTGGATCAGGAGTCCACTGAGGTTCGTATCCGGCGCGGATTAGCGTTGTGTCTTGCTCATTAAAATACCAATTTGGCGAGAGCTTAGAGATGAGATTTTTGGAGGTAGGCTGGCGCGACGGATTGCGAGTCGGATTGGGCAAGTCAGTCTTTGGGGTTGACGAAGAGCTTTTCGGGGTTTGCAAGTAACGATTTGTAGTTGGTGAGGCGGTGTTTGAAGTTGGAGTTGGTGTGTTCGGAGTCTGGAGACGAGCGTTTGGAGTCGGAGAGGATGCGTTCGGAGTTTGTAGATGACGGTTTGGAGTCGGTGTGACGGCGGCTGGAGTCTGGAAGCGAGCTTTCGGACTTGGGGTTGATGTGTTCGGAGTATGCAATCCAGTGTATGAGTTCGGCAAGACACGTTGCGGAGTTGGCGTAGAAGGTAGCTGTGATGCCCACGGGCTCTGGCCCGGCAGGGAAAACGATACCCGCTTGGGCGTTTGGGCCGTGCGTTTGGCGGACATGGTGGGCAGAATATGCTAGACCGGGGTTGGTTATCAACCTTGGCACATGCAAGCTATCTGGCAACTTACTGTCGCAATTCTGTTTCTTTGCCCAAGTGACGGGCGAAGATTTCACAGCTGCACAAAATGGTGAGTTCATGCACATGGCAGGATAGATGGAAGTGACTGCTCTGTGGTGGGGGAGCACATGCGACGCCGCGTTTGCGTCGGAACCACAATAACAATATGATCGCAATGTGCTAACTGTCACACTCACCTAGTCTGCACTTTTCAACTTTCAGTCGTTGCTTCTCGTGATTCTCCTGATAATCTGCACGAGCAGCTATGCGCACTCGATAATGCCGGGGATCATGGACCGGAACCAGAATGGGTAGGTGCCCACTTGAGGCGGGTCCGGGGATGCAGAAAGATGGTGGGGAGACTGACGGTTGTTTGATGTAGAATCTTTGGGATCTTCTGGAAGTGTGCTCGAGTCGGAGAGAGACTCAGCCCGTACGTCAGCATATGCTGTGTTGTGATGGCAGTAAGTTCCCTTCACGAGTCCAGATGTATGAAGAGAGATACTGAAGTTGCATGCAGGTCTCAATCTTCTTCGGTGGTTAAGCTTACTTAAATCTCAATGGGTGTTCGAATGGGAGTTTCCATGGGGTATTAATGGGTTGTGGTAGTCTCCGACTTTATGACAATCAAACCTCAAGTAACCTCAGGGTGAGGATTACGAGATTACTATTTCCACTCCATGTGACAGTCTCCAGATGCAATGAGATATTCAGACGAACAACAAGTTCATGATGATGCAATGTATAGTACATGATATTCTAATTTACAAAAAAAAAAGTTCAAAGCCACTTCAACACCAATGCGTCGAAAATGCTTCCAGTTTGCTTAGCCCACAATAAAAGACAATAACAGACAAAAGGGTATCCCATATTACATCTTAGGCTTCATCTTTGACTCCAACTTCTCTAAGGCATTATCAATGAGCTCGTCGTGCTCCTGATCACTGTTCTCATCATATGTGGGCTCGAGTGTGAAAAGCTTATGGGTTCCATCCGAATCAAGGCCCTCATCCATCTCCTCAATCGCTACCCAGAGACGTTCGGGGTCACGGAGATAACGCAAACTCTTCATCGTGTAATGGTCGATAGAAAAGCCTTCTTTTTCCATCTTCTTGATTGCACTGGCAGTCTCAGGGATGTCCTGTGCATTTGCAAATCCGTTGATGATGGTGTTCCAAGTCACCTGGTTGTACTCCACGTCGTGCTTGGCCATCATCTCCTTGACTTTCTCAGCTGCATCAGGCTGGCGACTGTAATTGAAGGCACTAAGGAGGATGGTCCAAGTGCGCGGCGTGGGCATAATATGCTTAAGAGGCTTGCCAGCCGTGGTCTCTTTCGGCATGGCAGATGCGTCAAGCATATCTTCGACGAGACGTATGCTTGACCGTAGTCCACGGCTGCTCTTGCGGAAGGCGATCAGGAATTCATTATAGACATGGTCAGTTTCGACCAGAGGAGCGATGGATGGGTGGCCCTGCTGCACGAGCTCGCGGAATCTGTCATACATGTGATGCACTTGGGATATCCGATTTCTGCAACGGAAGAATGTTGCGATCATGAGGAACAAGGATACCGGAGAAGGTGGGGTTTTGATTTCAAGTCCTTGAGTTGGCGGAGGTGTATACTGGGGAGGAAGTAAAAGGAGTTCTTTGAGCGGTGTGATGTCGTGTATTTTGTTGTACATGTCGAGCATAGAGTAGAATACCCCCGAGGGATCGCTCTCGGGGTCAATATGCTTTGCCGTGAAAGTGAAATGGGCATGGAAGATTTTGCTGAAGATGTAGGGGTTGTTTCGTAGTTCCTCTTGCATCTCGACTTCCCGCACCAACTCGTCCACACGACCCCGGTCGCCTCGGGACACCGCATCAGTGAGGAGAGTCAAGTATGTGTAAGAATCAAATTCGTGGTGGTGATTCTTCATGAACTGAAGCATGTCCGATCCCAATTGAGGATCACCGGTTTTGTAAGCATTGGCGAGCACGAGATTCATCATGTCTCGGTCTGGCTGGACACCCATTTTGAGAAGCCGTGGGAGAATTCGGAAATTGCGTCCTCCGGCATTATCCTCAACGGTGTCCAGGGTCAAGAGCTTGCAACAGTGCCGCAGGACTCCTTCAGAGTTCATTGAAAATTCAGGATCATGGATTTTAGGAATGAATTCGAGGGCTCTGAGGGCATATTCCACGTCTTTCAGTTCTGTGAATCGGAACATGTAGCAAAGTGCTGTTTGCGCTTCCATCGTGGTGCCTCGCTCGTTCATTAAACGGAAACTCTCGTAGACACCTAAGAAGCCTGATCGGCGAATATAGAACCGTATACCCCTTTGCGGTGGGGAAACAATTGGCCAGTCCTTCGGATCCAGGGAAGTTGCAACAACCGATTCAAATGTGTGGGCACCCTTCGTCCAATCCCGGAGTTCTTCATAATGAAATCTTTCCAAGTAGGCCAAGCAATCGACAACCATAGTAAGATCCGGTTTTTCTCGTGGCTCGGTTGTGACAAGTAAAAACTCCAAGGCCATTGCAGGGTTATTTTGCAGCAGCCAAAGGGCCAGGCGTTGCCAGGCCCAAGCCCGGGTAGAACGGCTCATTGCCAGCCACGCCTCTCGAAACCTACCTTGGCAGTCATCAAGAAGCAAGGCCAGCAGTTGCTCGCCCTCTTCTCTCAGCGCCGGCAACGCAGATTTGTGCAAGACCTCACGGCCATGTGCCTTGGCCTTGTGGATTGCTCCATATGACTCCTTCCACTGACGAAGTCCCAGATCACGCGAGTAAAGCGAATTCATTCGCATTGCAAGCGCAAGGTACAAGCCTCGATCAGTTAAGTGTCTACCTTTCTTTAAGATTTCGCGGTTGACTCTCTCAGCGGCCTTGGCCACAAATCTGGGATCGGCTTTTCGCACATAGGCCACCTTCTTCATTTTATCATTCGTTATAATCGGTGTGTGCGATAGCCCTCGTGATTGCGCTGCAGGTTTTGATTGTCCATGGCCCATGCCATTCCGATTTGTTGGGACCTGATCTGATTGTTCACTTGTCGGCGGAAATGAACTGTCGGTCGAATCGCGGTTGTGTTGATACGATATAGGGTCAGGAGGATCATGTGTCATGCCAGGTTCTAAGATCGCTAGAGCATTGTATGTGGAGAGGCGCACTCTATGACCAACATTCACCGTTCTCGGTTGCCGATACCATCGGCCAGGGCTCCGACATTGTGATGAGAGCAACCCGTTGAGACGGGACCGAACGATTTGGTGCGGACACGATGACATTCAGGAGCTTGTATCCGCAGACATTTGGGGGAAAGACCAAGACGAAGAAAATAAGTCGAGTATAGCGCGTGGAGAGAGGACGGACAGAAAGTTGAATTCCGCCATTCCGCCCGATTTTGCCGTGGCTAGTGTGTGGCGCACCACATCTACTTTTATCGCTCTATCATCTTCAACTTGCAAGCAGCGGAGGAGCTTGGGATTTTTTTCCGGTCACTTCAATCACTTTACTTCTTAGTCCTCAAGCCAAGGAATCCTCTCCGTTATCAAGTCAACCATCACTCGAAAATATGTCGTCAAACCATGCCAATCTTGATGCGGCATCCACCGACCGCAAAGCCCGGCTCGCCAAGCTCGCAGCTTTGAAGCGCAAGCAACCCGAACCAGAGACACACGAGGCCGGTGCAGAAGACCAGGAGCTGCCCGACGCCGATTCCACGCCAGACGTGACAACAAAATATCTCTCCGGCCGCAACTACGACGCCGAGACCCGTGGACCTAAACTGGGCTTCGAGCAAGGCCCGCAAGAAGGCCAGGTGACGGTGGAAGAACAGGCGGCTGAAATTGCAAGGGCCACAGCGGAGCAAGCCAAGAAGGATGCGGGTGCCGACGAACCCATTGATCTGTTCAAATTACAACCTAAGAAACCCAACTGGGACTTGAAGCGCGATCTGGACGAAAAGCTCAAGACTCTCAATGTACGGACGGATAATGCCATTGCCCGCCTCTTACGACAGCGGGTAGAGGAGGCGCAGCGTGCTGCGAAGGCACGCGGGGCCAAGTCTGACGGAGATGGGCAGGGAGAGGAAGTGGGCATGGAAGGCGAGACACTCATTGAGGGCATCCATATGCGCGAACGAGAGGAAGAGAAGAGCGACGAAGAAACGATTTGAACGTGATACCCTTTGTTGCAGGAATGCGAGCGTTGTCTAGGTCTTCTGCCTCCGCCTGTAATTGTCTATATTCTGTCCATTTAACTTATTCCTTTTATTATATGTTGTCTTGGTTGAGGCGTCCAACTGATGCCACGGGCATATTGCACACACAAATGAGGCGTTGGGAGGCTTACAACTTAAGATTGACAATGAGCATGTCTATCTTAGTGTCGTTCAAAAATTATTATTGATTTTTTTTTTGAGTTCCGCTGTCGAATGACAGATACTTTCAAACTCCTCAATCGAGATGCTAATAATACACTTGGTCATATACTGATGGAACACGAATCAGTGCCGTGTCCCCCATGAAAATTTTGCGCCGTGAGAAGCCCCGGTGTTGCAGAGCATTTTTTTCAATTCAATTTACCGTCCGTTATTCATAGCTTGAGTCAAAGCAAGGCGCTTACTGAAAGGACTCAAGCTTCTTTCACGAGGAGGTTGGTTCTTTTGACTTGTAGATTCGGGCCTGGACCGTCCAGGCTGAGACTGGTGTGGTGGGCTTGCTCGATCACGGTATGAACGGTTTCGGGGAGCATCCTTGGTCGTGGCACGTGATTCTTTCACTCGATCCTTATCCACACTCTCGCTTCGGCGGTCTCTTCGCTCGCTACGTCTTCCTGCTCCACGGTGACGACCTCGTTCTTCGGGGCTAGATTCTCGTCTCCGTCGCCGAGTGTTTCGGTCGTCGGTTCGCTCCCTGGAGGGTGAGCGGTTCTTTGGTCCTGAGTGAACTGACCCGGAAGAACCCTCTGTAGAATCACTGTAGCGTCTCTTTCGGGACTTTGCGGGTGGTGCCGATGAATCATCTCGACGACCCCTGTCGGCTGTGCCGTGTTTGTTACGGCGGGGAGATGAGGAATATGATCGGTTCGTGGATATCGTCTCTACTGAGAGGGACCTAGCCCGCTTCGGAGACTGAGCGTTGCGATCTGTCATATCCTCGAGGTCTCTCTTCCGGCCTCGTTCTTCCTCCCGGGTAGCAAGTAGTTCATCCGCTACACCCTCTCTTCATACAAGTTAGCGAGTATTCTCAAAGAAGAATGTGCGGAAATGAGAATTATCCATGGGAACCTACTTCCGTAGCAGCTCATTTGGATTCTCGCTTGAAAGCTTAGGCATCAATTCAGGGTTCAGTAGCTGCTGAGTTCTTGAAGGTCGCGGGATGTATGGGCGCTCTTGCGCGGATGCCTTGCAATCAAAGCTATAGTGCCGTAGATCGGAGTTAGTCAAACGTCTGAAGAGCAAAGTGAAAGAGGTTACATATCTCGTCCAAGGCATTTTTGGCACAGTGTGGTCGCAGTGGCTCTGTTGGAGTTGGAGCCTCCAAGCTTCGGGGCGTTTCGATATCGGTTCATTGGAGCTCGTGATGTTGTGGATTCGTGTAAAATTCTGGATTGAAAGGTACTTCAAGTCTGAAGTAGGGGTATTGACACGCCCACGATGGGAAACACAGGCAGAATCTGAAGTAAAGCTGATCGGCGCAAGTTAGCGGCTGTTAACCTTTGAAGCCCAAGGGAAATTGTAGGCGCGCGCCAAGGGCGGTCGGGCGCGGCATAATGCCCACGAATCTTCAGGCAATCAAGAAATCAGAATTCGGATTCCCAACGCTCCTTCTCGATCTCGGAGTTCATTGTCAACCTTCACGTCATCCATCTCGGACGGATGATCTAGAGTTGATCGGCTCTTCAAATACCCAACGGATCTGGAATCCCCTCAAAACTCAGTACGAGATCTTCATCTCCCTGACTATGAGCCAACTTTGATATCATGTAAGGCACCGTTACCTGATTTACCCCAATTTCTTGCTTCTTTGAAGTGGATATTTCTTCTCGGTGATTCTCTGGATCTCCTTGTGTTCTACCTTGCATGGTGCTAATGCGCATTCCCCACAGCTTTCTCCATGGCGATTGCCCTACCCCAGAGATATGTCTTTCGTTTTGGGCTTGTGTGAAACGAAATTACGCAGCGACATTACTTTCAACCAAACAAGCTTCGACCTTCTTCACATTTGCAAATCCGAGGCGTGCTGAGTGTAGCTTCTGCTCGACTTGATCTCGGTTTTTTTTTTTTTTTTTTTTTTTGTGAAATTTAACCACTTTCAGCGACCATCCCGCGGAGCGTTGTCATGGCATCAAAAAGTCCCCCAGGTGGAGACAGCCCTCTCTCATTTGCAAAGGTAAGCCAAGAGCTTGCTCCACCACCTCGTGGCTCATCGCTAATTCTGACAAGATTGCCGCTATGCCCGCGCCCCTCAACCCACATTCTTCTTCGGTATCCGACGAAAACGAAATATGCCAGCCAGCAGAACAATCACCTTGCTCAGAAGCAAATGGCTCCGGTGTTAGCCAGCATAATCTCGATAAAACGCCAGAGGCTAGTTCTATTGATCTGGCCGTTGACGATCTAGGGAGAGGCGTGCAAGATATTGGCCTCACCTTGAAGAAGCACAGTGATGGCTCAAGCTCTTTCATTGGCGGCCAAAATAATGGCTTGCTCAATCGGGAGAACTCTTTCGAAGATGATCGCACTCACCTTTCTACCTCGTCCACAAAAATGACAAACTTCGATTCCAAAAGTCTTGCCTCGGTGACGACATTTGCAATGGATGAAAAGGACTCTGTACGTCCCGATGACAGTGCTAGTGTCCAAGCCATTGATGAAGAGGAGTCGCTTTCTGGACTTGCCACTGGGGCTCCGAACTCAGTGGCAGGCTCCGAAGCTGGCAGTCGCGCGTTTCGGGACCAGTATCGAGATGGCATTCCTACACGCCCACGCGGAATTCTGCCTGTGCCTCCTCTGTTTGACGGCACCCAGCCGGGGAATGGTACAATTCCTCCGGATTCGGTCGCGAACAACTTTGTGATTCCGGCCAACTCCGATGGCATTGAAGATGGTCAGATCTTACATGGGTTTCCCTTAGAGCCGGATGAAAAACTCCTAGAGGCAATGAAATCACCAAAAGATCGGCTCCTAATCCTACAACTAGAGGAAAAGATTCGATACTTTATCAAGGACTGCAATGACCAATCCCTGGAGTTGCCTCCCTCGAACGCGTTTGGGCGACTTCTTGCACACAAGCTCGGGGATTACTATCACTTAACACATTTTGTCGACAATAATGTGACATCGGTTAGACTTCATCGAACGCCATTCTGCCGACTACCCACTCCTCTGTCTGCTGTGCATGCTGCTTGCAATAGCACTCCGCCTCCAGCTGTTCCGGCAATGAAAATCATGCGCCGAAACGACGGAGGGCAATTTGAAGGAAGTATTGGAGGTTCTTCAAACCCTTCAAAGGCCAACTCCGAAGATGGCGATAGTGGGCCAGATGGAGAACGCCACGGATCTTCATCCGGCGCTACTCCCGCTAAAGATCGAATGGCTTTGACGAGGGAAGAACGGGAGGCAAAATATCATGAAGTACGTGAACGAATCTTCCGTGATTTCCCGGACAGTGCGAAATCGGATCCGGCCAGCGGAGACTCGAATCCCAACATGTCACGCTCCAGCTCGGCGAACGGTCGTAAGAAGAACCAGAGGCAGCGAACTCCTCATGATGACAGCTTTGAGGTTCGCTCGCAGTTCAATGCCTACTACCCAGGGATGCAATATGGAAATGGCGCTGCTCAGTACAATGCTCCTGTGAATGATAGCTCATACCCAAACCAAGTGCCTTACTTGGTCGGACCTGGCGTACCGCCACCCTCTGGCGGTTACATGCCATCTGGTCAGAATGGTACCATTTACCCTGGGCAACTGAACATGAACATGAGTGGTGTCTCCCAGTATCCGGTGGCAATGTCTCCGCAGATGGCTTCCAATAGCTCATGGCAAGGAGGAAACATGCCGCAGCAATCCCCATATTCCGGGTATGCTTCGGTGAACCAGCAGGGGATGATGAACCAGCCGTCCTCGAATGCGTCCTCGCCGGCAATGAATAACTATGCCGTGCCCAATATGACGCCATACCAACAAACCCCCAATTGGAACTCGCCTCCATTCCCCGCAAATTTCCAGCAGTCCCCGCACCAGCGAAATGGACCGCCTGTCCACTGGCCCAACTATCCTCAGCAGCCAATGAATTCCAATATGCCACCCAACATGAATTCCAACATGCCGCCTAACATGAACTCAAACATGGGCTCCAGCATGGGTCCTAACATGAGCTCCAATATGCCATCCAATATGGGCGCATATCCTTATGCTCAATACCCTGGACAACATATGAATCCTGCTCTCCAAAATTCTGCTGGATCCCACGCAGCAATGCAAGCAGGATATTCCAGGTCACACTTCAACCCTCAGACACGCTCTTTCATCCCCGGTGGTGCTCCTCCCGGGCGTCACCCGAATAAAGGCCAACACACAATGCAGCCTTATGGTAACATGCAATCTGGTGTCCAACAACAATGGAACGGATATCCGGAACCCGTCCCTAATCGGACCATGGAATCAAACCCGGCTATGATTCCCAACCGAGTGCCTACCGGTCCTCGAGACTCGATCGCAAAATGGGGCACGCCAGCTCATCTTCCTCCTAAACCCCCACCATCTGAGGTCCCCTCCGACTTTGACCTAAAAAACCGACCCGTTCCGGCCTCGGCCCCCCCACCAACATACAGCAGCAATGGAACCTCTGCTGCTAGCAATGGACCACTTGTGGTTTCAGGAGGCACAACTGTCTCCAAACCCAACTAAAGATTTATGGTTTTGGTCGCATTTCTACTACTATTTGTGTTGTACCTGTTTATGATGTGATCCTTCGACCTTTGGAAGTTGTGGAGATATGAACCGTTGTCCCATAGAAGATGGGATCGATTCTCTGTTCACCAGCAGCTATGTTCCAAGGTTTTCATCTGCAGCAGCACAATGCATGGCGGTCCAGGTTCTTGTGCATGTACCTCGTTGCTCTTAGCTAGTCATGAACCTGTTCGACGTATGTTTTTTCTCACTTGCCTATCGTAGATCCTAGAATCCAAAATGAATACTTCAAACGAACACTTAGGCTTGTAGTGCTAGACAAAAACAAAAAGCAGCGTCTCTAGCATAACCGCAATCACTCTATATAAGTTCTAGTGGGTGTTAAAATAACTTCATCGTGATCAACCCTGGGCTCTATAGTCAAAACATCAGCCCAGCCTCGTCAGGGTATCCAAACAGAAAAAGCACACCAACTCAATGCTTCATAGCAATCGCCACGGGAACAGTAATCACAACAAAAAGAACAAAAAGACAAGACTAACATCACCGCAAATAAACCATTCCAGTTGAGGTCTCTGCTTGTGCTACACGGGAGTAAATCCAGACCTTAAACACACTTTCGACGATGCATCGCATTCTAACATCCTCGTGTACCATAATACCGAATATGTGACGTAAATGGGCGAGGACAAAAAGGCTGAATGGAAACTTATTATTTTGGCCCTTCTGTGGGGTAGAGTGAGTGACTGGGCTGTGTATAGGATTGTTGAAGACCCCAAGAGTGCTGTTTTCTCGTTCTTTGGTGCACTGATTGGGGTCAGAGGGCATTTTGGGTTTACACGCGCTGCTAATTTGAGACCCACTATGTCAGAGAAGCTGGCTTCTACACTTGGAGAGTTAGTCCAAGTATGCATGGACGATGTTAAAGTAGTGCAGCAAAGGTTATGCAAGGCCTGGATATACTACTGGTAGTAGGGTTTGATTGTATCATGTGATTTACAGAATATCGCATTTTAATTGGTCAAGAGCGTGACAACCATACCCAATATGGCGTTGACTTGTCAACTCCGAAGTATATATTGAAAAGTCGTCTGCAAATTTTAACCCTTTCCGCCCTTTTTTGCGGTCTAAATAGAAACAAGGATAGTCGGCATCGCTTGCGGCCTTGTGATATCTTTTTAGTTAATCTTTTTGGATATCTTTGTTTTGTAGATGTTTTGCCGCTCATCTCGGTTTTTTAGACAAACAGCAGAAAAATGCGGAGAAAGGCTTAACTTGTGAAATGAACTTTTTGTATAACTTTGGATGGATATTCATCCAAAAACAAGACATCACAAGGCCGCACAAACAGTCGACCATTCTTGTTGCATATATCCCAGATCAAACTATACACTACTAAACAAGGAAATAGTGCTTGAACCCTCCATATTTCACATTCAGTTCTCTAGCCCTCAATCTACATATCCAAGTCTCCCCAGACATCACCCCCTCCACCACTGTTTCATGAGATATATGGATTTGTAGGCGGTTTATACTGCGGCATAGACCGACGAGTTCCAAAGATCACAGAAGGAACAATAATAACAACCAGGAGAACAACAGCCCCAAGAGCCGAACCAGCAATGATCCACTCCCGCCGACGAGACCTATGACGCTTGACCGTCCCTGTCACAGACTGTGACTCTAGGTCTTGTTTCCCATCTGCTGCAGACCCTTGCCCACTCGCTTCTGCATGGTTTCCATTTGCATCCCCAGCTCCGGCCTCAGCTTGCTTGTCTATGTGCTTGTCGTCGGCGTATTGATTGAGTTCCAGGTTGCAGTCTCGGTCGCTGAACTCTAGTGTGCAGTCCCTGTCATCAACTTGCAGGGTGCAGTCATCTTTCATGCTGTGTTCGCTGGCTGGACGGGGTGGGGATACTGAGATTTCTTTGTATTTGTTGGCGCGTGGAGGGGTGGGAGCATTCTGCCGGAGTGAGTTGTGTGTTTCGAGTGACATTTTTTCCATTTCGAGTAGTTGTCCTGGCAATGGTTTTCTGTTCTGGTGGGAGGTTAGCAAACATTCAAGCCTGGAGAGTATAGCTGGGCATGTCATATCGGGTGTTGCATACTGCATATAAGAAAGTTGCGGTGTAGTAAGAATAGGTATCGAGTGCTAGACAGCAGAGAATCAAGCACTATATATTATCTGACCAAGGCACAGGTCCTGCTGGGCACTAGGGTATTATAAAGAGGGAAATTGAGGTTTTGAGTATCTCCCAGGACTTGGCTAGATGAATAAATGACCCCTTGGGTAGACCAGCTTGACCTATAACAGCATACGCTTGGATAATATGCTGGAAACTTCAACTATTGATAATTCTGCATTGAATTTTATTGTCCCTTGATTGCAATTGCCGTGTGCGGGCAGCACTAGTCTGGTACGTCGAGGCTGCATCTGATATATCAGATCTCGTCAACCGCCCCAGGAAATGGGCGTTGAGAAGCTGCAGAGAACTTTAATCACTTTCTGGAAGGATAAGATGATGGATGGCTTCATAGCATGACAATTTCAAGCCTAATTGCTAGAGGTGATTTTATTTTTGTTGTGGAGGTTGTGGATACTTGAATATATATGTTGTAGTTCTTCGACCTTCCACTAACATTGGCAACATGACAACCAAATCGCGTAAATTCTCTCTAATATCAATATCGATGCAATGAAGTCAGTTAATTATTTGCGGTGAGCCTTCTACTTGATCTGCATTGCAGGTCATGGCGTTTTTATGAAGGTTATTGAGATTCATATATTGAGGCCTAGATCGTCAGGCATCACAATCGGCAAGATGCCGGGTTCTGAAAGTCTGTCTACTATGGATGCTCTTCATTGACGACGCCCTTGATCGTAATATATTGGCTACTTGGTAGTGATTGATCTTTAAATCTATATATAAGCCCGGGATAAATTGTTTTACTACAGCATCCCTCATGCAGCATGGCTTGATACATGCCTTTACCCAAAGCTGACAAACCAACGAAGAAGTGAGAATAAAGAGGTATCAAAATCTTTTATACAGAGGCTATGTCACATGCGCGAGTGCAAACGAAGACGGAGATGCCATAATAAACAGGAAGAAGACAGAACTCCTGGTAAGAAAAACAAGTAAAGAACAATGGAGTTGACCCGGGAGACCAAGCGAGGCGGTGCTAACATCAAGCACACCCATCAAAGTTCAGGAAAAAATATCGCCTAGGCAGATCCCAGAGATCACTCTTAGACCGAGGATTCCGAAACAGAACCCCCATAATAGAGATAGCACTCCCCACATCTAATCCCTCGACTCAGCCTCAGCCTCCTTCTTAGCGAGCTTATCATTCTGCTTCTTGGCAAGGCTGAGCTGGGAAATCGCCCGCTCCAAGACCTCAACACCGTCCTTCCGGAACTGTGTAACCTTCTTCACATTCAACCTCGTGAGCGAGTGCACGAGGTCCCGGCCCTGCTCACGCTCACGCGCCACTGTGCGCGCCGTCATGGCGAAACGAATGTCCTTCGGCCCATCGACCAGCTCGAGGATGGCGGTGGGAGCCTTGACCTGGGGTTTAGGCTCTCGGATGGCGTTCTTGTCGCCCTTCTTGGGGGAGAAGTACTCGTTCTTTTCGCGGGGTTCTATGCGTAGGACTCGTGTGTAACCACCTGGGCGGTCTGCGTAGCGCTCGCGGAGGGGACCGAAGAGTTTGGGGAGCATTTCATGTGGTGTCTAGGAAATGTTAGTGTTGTCATTGGGCTGTTGATTATTTTTTTTTCTGCGAGATGATGGATTGAGAATTGCAGTAATTCATCACGGATCTGGTAAACCTATGACTTCTCATGGCTAGACTGATTCCCATCCTGATTGGGATTGGGGTGGGCTTGTTCTCCGGGGATTCAACATACGTAGAAAATCTCCAATGCTCGTCGCCGACTGGCTTCGGTGTTCTTCTTGCCCAGGGTAATCAGCTTTTCGGCCAGGCGCTGGGCCTCTTTGGCCTTGGGCCATGTAGTGGTGATTGACTCATGCTGGAAGAGGGAGGTCACCAGGTTTCGGAGCAGGGCCTGTCGATGCGCGGAGTCGCGGCTCAAGTGGCGGTATCTGCTTCCACCGCCGGCCATGGTGAGATTTATTAAGCGAGAGTAAACGAGTTAGAAAGAGGTTGAGTTATTAAAAGTAGAGTGGGGATCGCGAGGTCAATGGCCAAACCAAGGTGTTCCAGTAATTGAAGATGAAGGAGAGAGGATGTTCGGCCCAGAAGAATTGTCCCGGCCAATCGGAGCGCTTCCACCGCCTGTCCGACTTCAGTTTTCCGCGTTCACTCTGCTTGTTCGAGGGCATTCAACTTTTCGAATGTATTTCAGCTGAGCTACTTGATTGTCGGGAAAAGAATCTTTATAACCGCGAAACATCGTGCAATTTTTCACCTTTTCCGTCCACCCCCACGAACAGCTAAGCAATCCGGCGACTCCAAACACCACAACAAATATGGGCTTCTTCACGGGCTTCGTACGATTTACCCTCAAATATATACGAGGAAATAAAGACTAATTTCATCTCGCACTCGAACAGCTCGGCGGTTTTGCATTCACCTCATCCGTTCTCTATATTACCGTCCAAGTCCACCGCTCAACACGCATATCACAACGCAAAGCCATCCACGCGCAAGTCGAGCAAATAGACTGGTTGACCTCCTCCGCTGGTGCCTATGACCGGCGATTCCTACCAGAAGACATTTCAAGGCGGCGACGCGAAGAATTGGAAGCCCAGAATCAACCTGAGCCGACTATGAAGGAGATACTCAAGCATAAGTGGAATAAGGAAGTGGAGGTCTTGACAAAAAAGGCCCACGAGACGACATGGGAGGACATGAGAGATGCTGCTGCAGAAGGCTGGAAGGCTGCTGCACGAGTAGTGAAACGGGAATGAAGGATCATCTCTGGGACTATAGCAAAGGCTTTGGCTCAAAGAAATGCTTGGATGCATTATCATGTCTGCTTGTTTGGGTTTGATTTTGAGCACCGGAGTTTGGATACCCTTGATTTAGTTATGTCATGAATTACATACATTAGTATTATTAATTTCCCCGAGGGATATATTAAATGCGTCCAGCGCATTTCCAGATGTGTTGGAGATATCAATGCGGTGCGGCAAGACTCAGTGATGACCCGATCAGTGCCGAGACATTCGCACTGGTCTGCTGGAAAATAAACAAAATGAAGGAAATGCAGCAAAGGCGGGGCTGCAGCTGTATCGACTGCAAGACTTGGAAGTTCAACTCGTATGAGTGGACGATGACGGCGCCGTTGTCGTGACACTTTCCGAATCACTCCAGATATCCTTGCTTTCCCGCTCGACAGTGCGCATAGCCTGAGCCACCTCCTCGAGTTTAGCAACGACATCCAAAACGCCCTGGTTGACCCGATCAAAGTAGCGGTCATTAGCTTCGCGGCGCTTTCGCGCAAGACGAATGTCTTTCTCGGTCTCGTCGTCCAACGTGCGGTGCGATACTGAACCGCGGCCTGGACTAGTTTCCGTCGGTGCATCATACTGAGCCTTTGACTCTTCAACACCTCGCCGCGCCGAGCTGGCTTTTCCACTGGCTTCATCGGCACCGCTGTGGCCAGGATCCACAACTTCATCGTCTGCCTCACTGCGCGCCCAGGCTTGAGCGAGCTTCAGCTGTTTCATTCTTAGATCTTCCAATGCTTCAGAGTGCTTTGCACCAAATACATTCTCGCTCGTCACAGCGCTAAGTTCCACTTCTGACAGGGCGCTTTGCATCTCCTGCCAGATGGCATCGGATCCGTCTACATCATTTTTGGAGAGGCGGCGCGATACAAAAGGCGATAATAAGCTCGACTTCTCGGTATTTTCACCCTTGACTCCGCGAGGTGACCGGTTCCGATGCAGGGGTGGAGGTTGGCTGCCGGAGGCAGTTGCTAACGTCGAGGCTGCAGGTGGTACGGGTAAGGAGATATTAGAGGCATTGTGTGATGGTGGGCCCTGGAAAAGAGCTGGGGGAGGCAGGCGTTGGGGATTTGGATTTGTGGGTTTTCTTGACAAATCCATCTTCAACCAATATTCAAGAGAACAATAGACATCGAGCATTCGCATGGGGTTGATGATACAGCTGATAACCTTATCGTTATCACTCTGCTGACATAATCCGAGGTGGGGGCTACGACTGTCCCGTGACTCGCTTAGGGCTAAGCGCACAAAGTCACCTGAGGTGCATCCAAAGCGTGTGGTAAGGGAAATCCGGAACTCTTCGACTTTTCGACAATCGACCCTCAGCCCCTTTGGCCGACAACACCCCTCCCAGTCGGTACGTACTCGATATCCTGCTGTTTCCCCTGCATTGTTTGTGGTTTTCGGAAATATTTTATTCGTGCCACTGCGAGATCCGTCAACGATCGCATCCATCACGCACAAAAAATCGACCTTCTTCAAACATCGAACACGCCTCGAAAATATCCACAACCAGCAAAACCACTGTTGCACTCGACACGAGGCTAACATTTTTTTCTCGCTCAGTTGACCGTCGAACACATAATCCGCCAACATGGGTAAAGGACAACCCCGTGGTTTGAACGCCGCCCGCAAGCTCCAGGCGCACCGCAAGGATCAGCGCTGGGCTGATGACCACTTCAAGAAGCGTCTTCTCGGAACCGCCTACAAGTCCTCCCCCTTCGGAGGTGCTTCCCACGCTAAGGGTATCGTCCTCGAGAAGGTCGGTGTTGAGGCCAAGCAGCCCAACTCCGCTATCCGCAAGTGTGTCAAGGTTCAGCTCATCAAGAACGGAAAGAAGGTCGCTGCTTTCGGTGGGTAACCCCGTTCTTTTTATACAATGTGTTGGAAAGGTCTATACGAGTTGGAATTACGACAAGATGGAAAACCGCCAACACAACTACTACAAACATGTGCTAACTAGCATGTTCTTACAGTCCCCAATGACGGTTGCTTGAACTTCATCGATGAGAACGACGAGGTCCTGCTC